AGTTGGGGGATTGTTCTGAAATGCGCTTAAAATATCTTAAACACCCCACCCCCTTTTTAAAAAAAATTATGTATGTGAGTTTTTTTTAAATACATCTTGTTTTGGGGTTTTGTTAAGAGAAAGTCTTATCTGTGTGTGTTCTCTAGTTCAAAGTAAATTGAAGAAAAGGAAGAAGAAGCTGGTTTTTGTGATTGTTAGTTGAAATTTGATGTTGTTTATCATCATTTTTTTGTGATTATAAGGTGAGTTTTACTTTCACAAACATCATTTGATATGTTTTTGGTAAAGAAACCGTATGGTTTCATACATAGGTTTTGAAGATGTTATATGCTATTTTTAGAATATTTTTTTTTGTTTTGATATGTATTTATCAATTGGTTGGAATAAGAATGATATAATCAGGAAAGACGTATATTGTGATAAGGGTGATATAATCAGGAGAGACGTATATTGATATAAGGATGACAAAACATTCTATATGTTAAAAATGGAACTTTGAACTTATGGAAACTATTATCGCATCTTCATGATGCGATGAGTGTGGTTTATCGAATCTGTATGATGCGATGAGTTGGTTTTATCGAATTCTTATAATGCGAGTATAAATGTTATCGCATCCTTGTGATGCGAGGAATGGAGTTATCGCATAAGTGTGATGCGACAATGTGGGATTATCGCATCAGTGTGATGCGACAAAATGAGGTAATCACATCCCTGTGATGCGAGGAAGTATATTATCGCATCTATATGATGCGATAAAAATGTAATCATATCAATGAGATGCGACAAGTTGGTATTTTATGTGTTGATGCGACAAGTTGGTATTTTATGTGTTGATGAGACAAGTTTGATACTTCAATGAGTTTGATGTGATAAAATGGCGTTGTCTCATCTATATGATGCGACAAAGAGGTTTGTTTCAATAAAATAATGTTTATTTGTTATTAATACAAATATAGGTTTTCTAAAAGTGTTTTGGTGATTTTCACCATGTAATAGTAATCAAAAGAGATTTCTCGCTAGACCTCATGATCTAACCCACATTTTGTGTTTTAAAATATGCATTACAAGTCAGACACATTTGGAGGATAAGAGAAAGGGAAAAATTTGAAGATATTATGATTGCTTACATATGTGGATTTATGGAAGCTGTTATATTATATGCATTTGAGAACTTGTTATGTTTACAAGTCTTCTACTTGATGTGAATAGAAAAAGTTTGTAGCTACCTTTAAGTGTAGCATTTTATATATAATGAGACTAATGTGTAAATTTATATTTCATATTAAATAAAATATGTGATTATATACAAATATGGATTTGGGGTGTTACAAATTCCAAAAGAAGAAATATATATGGAGGCTTATCATGGAAGTTTATAGGTCAATTCAATGATAATTTACCAAGGTGTAAACTTGAAGGACCATAAGGAGCAAATCCGTAAAACAACGTTATATTTATTTTGTTGTTTAGAAAGAACTAGGAGGTTGCTCATGCAATGCAGCAAGATACATTTTAATTTTAATGTTTCGTTTTTATATTTTGACTATATCGATATTATAATGCGATTTTATGTGGTTTTGAGAAAAAAAAAATGTTTTTATTTTTGAACGAAATATAAATTTGAAGATTGTATAAATTTTTTAAAAATAAGCGAAATTAGTATTAAATTAACTATTTAAAAGTTCTCGTTTTTGGGTATTTTCTTTAATTCAATTTTTATTATTATAATTAATTAAAGTTTAGAAACGAACTAATTTATTTTTGGTTTAATAAAATAAAATTTTAAGATAATAATCAAGTATTCTGTTAGAAATCAATAATTATCTTTCATTATATTTTAAATTTTTTATATTTAAAATGATATTTATTATATATTTAATTATGTTTATCTACAGTTAATTATACGAATTCAAATATAGAGCTTTAATAAAATGTATTTATGCACTTTCTATTTGTAATGTTGAATTTTAAGTAATATGCATCAATAAACATTACTTTATGTATTATTTTTAAGAGTTTTTATTAAATACTTTATAATATAGTATAGATACATTATATTGTATTTATTTTGCAAAAGAAATAGTATAGAGTTCCTTTTAAGGAAAAAATTATCACATAAGAATGGAGACGGGTGATAACGACCACGTACGATACGTAAGCGCTGATGATCAATTCATCCGTTTCTTGGACTTGGTTTTGTCGGTTATAGCCAAGCCGCCAACCACGCAGTCCATATGTTTGCATTCAAAATTGATTCAAAACCCTTGTTTCTTAGGTCAATGATGTTATTTTCTCTTTCCCTTTTCAAAATTTGCTACGTTACGGCAATTTACCCCAAAATCTAGGTTTTGGGATGGCCTATTGAGTTAAATTTTCGTACAAGATTCATATTTAAGCTGTTAAACTAGCCACATACAAAATTTGGAAGTATTTGAAGTCTAGGACTGTTGCAGAAGCAACTTTTTATTCGTTTGTATTGTTATAGGAATCGGGTTGTCTTCCAATTACTAGTACTGTTCATATGAACAATCTTTGCAAATAAAAAATTACCCTTTAATGGATATGGATTTTAAAGAGGAAGTGTTTGCTTATGTCGATGATCGAAGAAAGTAATGAACTTTGTGGTTGGATTGGGATAGAAATTCAATACGCTTGATGCAGACGATGATTTCTGGGTGTGGACTTTAATGCACACAGGGTGTTTGTCAAATGCTCTGAAAGAGACTCCTAAATTTAACATGGGTTGTAGTTATTGGAGACATTATAGTTGATGTGTTCATGAAATTATGTCAAAGTTGGAGGGTCCATTCCTTGTTTTGCTTCACTTAATTTGTGTGTTTTAAGTTCAATATGGAGATGCTGGACCAAATTGGTGATGATTTATCCAAGTTGGTTGAATGCTGGACCATGTGCCTATGCTGATAATTTTGCTGCAACTATCACTTTTATGGTTAGCATATGCCCTTTGGTTTTTGTGCAAACTGAAGATCAAAATTTTGGGTTAAAAGTCTTCCTCCTCCCAACCCAAATATGAAATATCTGTGAGAAATGGTTTGTAGTTTGTCCATAGGAGATGACGGGGAATCAGAACTAAGTTTTAGGATATTGACTTGTGGTGTTTGTTAGTATCTTGTTTACAAAATCACATTTCCAAAGTGGAAACCATGCCTGCTTTTCACCTGTCAACTATGCTAAAGAGAGGTTGTCATTATCTTCCCTAGATACCTAACTTATACATGAGCGAATGCTGGACATAAGACAAAGAAATAAGAATTAAGACTACATCGTCGGTAGCACCTTGATTTTCAAAGATTGAATGGAAATGACTTACCAGCAACTCCAGCCGGTTCCACACGGAACCCACCTCAAAGGACACCAACGTGTGGGAGGGGGAGGAGGGGGGGGGACATTTTTGGCTCACTCAGCGGCTGAGGCTAGAAGGGGACTTGGGATCGAACCCGGGACCCTGTATTTAGGCAAAGTCACGCTGCCTTTTTGCCAACTGAGCTACACGCCAGGGGCACAAAGCTAAAGATTGAGGTAACTGCTATACACTTGGAGGTTTTAGCCAATTTAAATAATTGTTATGGTCTTAGAGGTTTTACCCATTTCAAAAAATTACTGTGGTCTTAGAGGCGATAAAGTATGGCAGTGTAACGTACTATAAAGTCGCTTCAGATGGCTGAAGTTTCACTTTCCTGTGGTGAGATTTATGGAGCCTTACATCAGTCTCCGATAACTGATGCAATGACTGTCCGTAATTAAAATGGATGGTGAAATCTATCAGTCTTTGAAGTCAGCATTTGTTTCAATAATTCTTGCATTGCCATCAGGCTAAGATTTCGAGTAAATGTTTAGGAAACACACATACTTGATGATATGAATTCAAATAATATAGCTCTCATTTCCTTTGTCCATTTCACCTATGACTACACCTCATCTTCTTCATGGCAATAGATGAATAAAAAAAATTGTGTTCCAATTCCAAACACCACTTAGGAGCTAATGTGAAGAAAACAGGGTGACCAGAATCAGTTTTACATATTGGTATAATGGTATTTCGCTTTCAACATGATTGCTGAGAATCGAATTGACTTCAAGAACTAGTGGCCTAAACATATTCAAATGTCCTACATTGACATAATGATCCCTTTCTTTCTCTTGGTTGAATCTAATAGGAAGAATCATTCGCCATTTGAAGATGAACTTTCACAAGTTTTCTTCTTTTTACAAAAATCTTTTGGCTTCAAATATGTATCATTGCAGCAGACTGGATTGCACAATTATATGTTACTTTGTGGATATAACCTGACTACACCCATGGCTTCTTTTGTCATTTCTGTTGGATTCAGCAATATATATCTTTTCGCTGATATTTCTAATAAAGTCTGTTCAGGATATGAATATTAGGCCACGCCCTTTTGTCAGGATTTATAATAATTGGATGGTCCTGCTTGTTGGATCCTTCTGCAAAAATGACCTGTATACACCATACAGAATATGCAGCACCTAACAGTCATAAATCCATTTATGAACATTCAAGTGTAATTCCTAGTCACCCTTTTTAATACAGAATATGCTTTGTACTAAATTTTTTTTTCTTTCAGTGAATTACCATCATGCAATCTTCTGATTGCCTAAATACTTCATAGATGAAACTCCATTAATTTATTCTGCGTTGCGTGAATCATCGTATACTCTTCAATGTTAAATACATCTTGCTCTGTGTGTGTGCAGGTGGAGAGCCATATAAAAGAAAATGAATGCACCAAACACCTTTTGTACTGAAGAACAATGAGCCAGATGGAGTGGGAACCCAAAAGAATGTTGTCCGAATCGTCAGTGGTCCTAAATATTAAATGACCATCTGGTAGACCAAAATTGAGGTAAACTTTGCAGGGTCTCCCTCATCATTACTGCTTCAATTATTTTGAAATTTGGTTTCATTATTGCTATTGTCCTGTTCCTTTAACATCTATTATGAAATCACAACGGTGATCTAAGTTAGAACACTCATTTAATAACTGAAGGAAGATGATGACTAATTATAAATATTTCTTTTGTATACCCCCCATCCAAAGATATAGCTAGTTTTACATACATACATGATACATACGATATACCAATCCATTCTATCCATCTGCTGGTACAAAATTAATATACATCCATATAATCTAGAAAACCTAATCTATATCTATAAAGAACTCCAATGGTCTTGTTCTTCAAAGTATAGACCTGTTCTAAGGTGAATCTTCTTCTTTCTTGTTTTTCTTAAGCAACAAAGTCCGGCAAAGGTTGTGCTGCAAACCTTTTCTGGTTCTGAATGTTCATGGTCTCATACATGGCTGCAGAGTGTGAAGAAGATTGTTGATTCATAGCTTCAAACTCGTTGGATTCATCTAGTTCCACTCCTCTACCGAGTTGAATGTTTTGATTAGGGAGGAAATTCTGGTGGGATCCGGACATTGATAGATTATCACAATGTGGGAGACCTAAAGTCAAAGAGACTCCATTTCCTGAATATGGTGCTTGGAATTGCTCAGCGCTAAACCTCCCTATTTCCCCAATTGGATAACCACCTAGACTGCCCATGAAATCAGTTGGGTTGCTCATTAGCGTAAAACCTACATCTGAAGTCTGCTGCCTATCACTGTTTCTTGGTTTCTTGGGGCTGAATTGTGTGATTCCTTCCATCTGTGAGGAGCCAATGAGGGTGAAACCAGAAGGGTTTTGGAAGTTGATTCCGGTGGCGGCAGGAGATGTTGAGACGCCTGTGGAAACAGACATTTGCGGTGGAGGGTGATTGTTTTGGTCTGCGTGAATAAAAGAATTCTCCAGATTGTTGGATTTGAATCCTCTTTTTGAGTTCTCCGGTGACAGACTTTTCTCCTGCTTGGATGATGAATTCTCTTCGCTTTGTTCGCTTTTGCTCATTTTGTTTTCATCTGATCTGTTCTGTTCTTGTTCCTTGATTTCCTCCAAATACATCTCCTCCACCATCGGCTTCCACAGCCTCACTCGAGCATTTATGAACCAATTCGAAACCTGGATATAAAATATCATCATGAATCAATCAAACCGCAATATTGAAGCAGATATCACGAAATAATTTGAAATATACCTGACTCCTAGTAAGACCTGTTTGTTTTGCAAGCATATGTTTGTCTGAATCCTTAGGATATCTGAAGAGAATTTGCAAAAATTCCATTAGAAATCAATGGAAGAACACAAATTAAGTCTGAGAAAATTCCTTTTCAGTTTTGATTCTTACGGGTGGAGGAAATGTTCAAAAAGCCAAGCACGAAGAACAGAAACAGAACGCTCAGGCAATCCTCTTTGTGGTCTCCAAGCATTATGTTGGATCATTCCCAGTTGCTGTAAAGCCCTCTGTTGCCGGATCTGATTATCTACAAATTTCAGCCTTGACCCACCATCAGTCTTTCCACCACTGAAATTGTCTTCTTCACCTAAGCTCCTGCTTGCAGTCTTAATCTGTCCCATAATCGCGTCTTTTAGGCACCTGAATTGCTTCGAGATCGTCTGAAGTGCTAGTGCTGTGTAGGTTTTTGCAGACCCAATTCCAGCGGCTTGTTCGAACCAAGAGATTACAATTTGCATCTGGTTATGATATTGTCGGTACCTCTGCTCCACCTTCAAAAACCCACAAATTTAAACACAGGAAGTTCGAATCTTTAGTAACAGCGATGAATTTTGACTGAAGAAAGCAACCAAAAGAATGTGATGATGGAGCAATTGAAAATCTTTGATCAATTACCTCATCAAGCATGTTTACAAGCTTTGCTTTCTTCATTTGCACTTCCTGCCTCTCTGCAGTAGTAAGTTCAGAACCATCACCATGTTTGGCGCTGGTTTCTTCACCGCTCAACCCTTCTCTAGTTGCTGGTGGTGATCCACCACCACCACCACCACCGTTGCCGACAGTCTTGAGATTCTTGCTAGACTGATCGGAATTCTTGAAAACACCTTTGCCCACGTTCACCACTTCTTCAAGAAGATCTTGGGTGGCCTTCAAGTACTTGGAATTCAACAGCACACTCTGCATACTGCTGACACCATTTGAAACCCCTGATGCTGACGGTGTAGATCCACCACCACCACCACCACCACCACCAGGGGCTCTCCCATCATCGCCGGTGGTGTGAGAAATGGTGGGTACTCCGGCAGCCTGAGATCCAAACCCCGATTGTTGAGAGGAGAGGCTCAAGGACAGACCTTGCTGGAATCTGGTGACCTCATGTGGTGGTGCCGCCATCTCCACCGGGTTGTACATGTTGTACTGAACTCTTGGGATGAAGGTGTGGAGAGCAGACATATCGTGTTGTGGATGAATAGAGACCGGTGGTTGTGCCGAGAGGGGGATGCCAACAAATTGTTGAGTCTGGGAAGGGGTTGGTGGTGACGCGTGCGACAAAGATGTGTGCTGATGATTGTTTAGGAACATGAAATTCCCAGGCTGCGACGACTGCTGTTGCGGTGGTTGTTGGCTGTCGGAGTAATTAACATAACCAGGATTCATCAGAACCAGTGTCTGTAACCCATCCCCACCTTGAATTTCTGAATTTCCATTGTAGTAAGTTGCCATCGATCTTTCTTACTTGTATCTTCTTTATATCTATGATTTCTTCAAAAACCTATTTCAATTCACGGCCTCTACACTTTCTGGTACATGTTCACAACTGCCTATAATCTTCATCAAAGAAAACCTGGGATTAATTAAATGAACACAAAGAAACGATCATCTATACATCATACCCACAAAACTAATTACTGAGGTTTGATAGATTTATCGAAATTTAGCTTCAGTGACTCAAAGAAACTTCCCCCGCCGAATTCTGGCCCGATCACTGGTCCATTCTAGATCATAATTTGATGTGTACACACACACATATGCATATATATATATATATATAGAGAGAGAGAGAGAGAGAGAGATCAATAGGAGGTACCTGAAGAAGGGGAGATTTGGAATGGAACTCCGATGCGAGTGTGCAGGTGCTGCAGCTGCACCATCATCGTCATCATCACCATCTGAAACCGGACCAAAGAACAGGTTGAAATCTGTTAGTACTAGCTTTGATTTTATTCTACAGTGACGTCAACAACATCATATACGAACCTCCATGGTATAGATGTTCTGTTTTCTAGATAGACTGAGAGGAGAGAGAGAGAGAGAGAGAGGGAGTTCATGCAGTTATCAAACTTTCTCTCTCTAAACCCATCTGAACAGAGGATGTGTGAAAGAGAGAGACAGATGGGGTTATTACATAAATAAAAAAAGAGATGGATAAAAGATACCCCCATGTCATTTATTTATTACCATTATACAATTCACTCATTTCCTCCATGCTGACAACTTCAAGAAATCTTGAATTTCATTCAATATAGAAAGGTTAAGAAAATTAATTAACCTGTTGATTCTTTGCTCTGTTTGCAGTGATAGAGCTTTCTCTCTCTCTCTCTCTCTCTATATATATATATGATATATGTAAATACTATATGATGTGTGTGTGTGTTTGTGTTTACATGTGTGTGTAAGATACCGATTAGTGAAGAAGGGTTAGGAAGGGTATGATATGGAGGAGTAGTACCTGCGAATAGATCAAAGAAGGGAAGGTATGTTTGTGTTGTTGGTGTGTGCTTGATTTGACCTTCCTTTTCAAATCATTTGAGCAGCTTTGATGATGATGATGATAAGCTGCTTGCTCTCTCTCTCTCTCTCTCTCTCTCTCTCACACACACACACACACACAACAAAGATAACTTTTTTAGAGAGAGAAAGATGTAGATGTGTGATTAAACAAACAACAAATCCCCCCTCACTTCCTTCTTATATCAAAGTTATGTGTCAGAAGATAGAAACATCTGAAAAACGAGGAAACGTCTCCTTCTACTTGCTTTCTAATTATTTTGCTTAAATTATTTGTATTATTATTAATAATAATCTATTTCATTTCAGCAGCCAATCCCAATAAATATATAAATAAATAAATAAAATAATAGAATTTTTTAAGAGGATATTTGAATTTATGAATATGTGGCCTTTAATAATAGCAATATGAAGAGTGGGGAGGAAGAAGAAGATGATGATGATGAATGACAACAAGGGTTGAGTTGAAATGGGGGGGTCCCTTTTATCTTTCATTTATTTATAATTATACTTATACATACACACACACACATATATATATATATATATATTTGAATTTATATTTTAATTTGTCAAATTTCATGTGGTTGGATGCTAGAGTTTGATGATAAAGCAATTAAATTCGGAAGGAACACTGGGCCAACTACCACAACACCCCTGCTTTAATCATATCAATTTTTGTTTTCAATATTAACATCTCTCTATTTTTATCTCTCATATATAATCCTATTCTTTTCACTTGCCCGCAATAATTCATGTTCACACACACACATAGATAGATATATACATATATTATATATATATATATATGTGTGTATATATATAGTTCTCTTCCTTTACAAATCAAAATATTTTGTACAAACTGGTTTTTATGTTTTGTTTTATAATTTGTTTTTATGAAACAACATATGTAAAATACGGTGTTTATACATTGTTGTTTCGTATGTGAAACGTTTAGGATTGTTTTTTTTCCACAGACAAAATAGTCTTAAACATTTCATAGATGCAACAATACTACATAAACACGACATTTTCACATGTATTCTTTCATATGTGAAACAACATATGAATACTGATTTCTAAGTTTGTACATTTATTATATATATATATATATATATATATATATATATATATTATAGAGAAAGAGAGAGAGAGAGAGAGAGAGTTGGTTGAAACGAGAATAGTAACCAAATAAGAAAACATGATAACAACCAAAGTGTGAATCACATGTGATTTTACACATGATTCTAGTGTAAAATTACATTTGGTTTGGTTGTTCTCGTACTTTCTTATATGCTCACCGTTATTGTTTACACCCAATTATATATACATATATAGGGGAAGGATAAAAAGAAAACTAAATCATTTGTACAAATCGTGAAAATCTCGATTCATTGTTTAATTTAGTGAAAAACTTTCATGAAATTGTTTAATATGATGAAATTATTTCAAATAATTCATTTCTTGATGAAATTGTTTTATATATTTTTGTTTCTATGTAAAACTTAAATTTTTTTTTAATGTATTTCTCATTTTGATTAAATTTGTTTACTAAAATTAATAAAATAAAAATGATAATGATAATGTCCATAATTAACGTTCTCCAAGTTAAAGATGACAATCAACCCTCATAATAAAAATAAAAATAAAAGTTATAATTGGTTGAATGAAGTTTTTACAGTTTGTATTATATATATATATATGTGTGTTTTTTTCCCTCACCAATGGGTCGTTTGGGTGCTATTACTTTACCTTAACATCGTCATCTTGTAGCAAAATTTATTGCTTTTTATAATATCTTCATGTAATTGTGAATTTCCAAGTATATTTTTTAAAATGGTTTACATGAAGATGGAATTCATAAATGCAAATAGGCTTTGTACCTTCATATTTCATATTTCTGAATCATTTAACTCTACATTCTTCCATGTAACTTTACATGCAAATGCCCCTCCCCAATCAATATGCCAAAATTAACTCAATTATATGCTTTAATATCTATATATAATAATTCAGTATTATTTTATTTTTAATACTTGTCACAAACTAATCTCTTTTATATCAGTTCAACCTTAAATTTATTCACTCTTAATATATATGGGACAACCTGTATAAACTTCTTCACTTCAATTCTTGAAATACTCATTAATCAGATTTATCTAGCTTTCTTGTTTATTGGTGACGTAGATTCGTCTAAGATGTTACTTAAAAACAAACCCTAGTGACTCATCTTTTGCCCTACCATCTCGATGCTACAAGGTGGAACTCTGATGTCGTTTGAAATATTCAAAAGCCCAAAGTGATAGACTAGTTTGATAACGTCTATATACATTAATTAACTTATAATCATGTCGCCTGCAATTAATGATTTATAAACAATTTACTGGTTTTATTTTCTATTTATATGAGATAGATTGTCATAATAAAAGTAAAAAAAAAATTCAATTAAAAATCGAGCAAACTATGCTACACAAGTAGTTAGATCGGTTTTTTGAAGAAAAAGTTGTGTTATTTTTTTGTATAACTTTTGTAATCTTTGTATATTAAATTTTTATAAAATCAAAATAAGAGTAAACTACGGATTTGGTCCCAGTGACGAAATTGGTTTTTGGATTTCATTTTTTATGGAAAACTTCTTGGGGTATGCGTTTTTCATTGGTTTAGTCAGGTCCGTTAAAAATTAGGGCAAAATTGGCCTTTTCATATTTTTCTTTATTTTAACATTTTTTAAATTATTCTTTTTTAAATATGAGGCCAAAATGTAAACATTGAAACTTGGAGGGCTAATATATATACACACAGATGCCCACACATCCTTCATCCCACCCTCACTCCACCACCCCAAACCGGCTTGTTGACCACGTCCACAACTCATCGCCATCTTCATCTTCATCTTCACTTATCACCTTTTACCCTTGTTGCACCCCCACCTATAACCAATATCCACCTACAGGGATCAAACCAACAGTTTATCGTAGTAACACACATACACACTGGAACCACTGCTTTGCATACACATACACATTGTCAACCCACCCTCCACCACCACAATTGTTTTTGAGGGAAGACGTACGAGGAGGAGAGAGTGTGATGTGTCAAGCATCTCTTTGTGAATTGGTTTCACTGGAGTTTTACCAGAGCTAGTAGACGGCCGTTCGATCCACGAACCAAATCCATGAAAAAGTGCATGTCACCAGGTGTTCTACGTAATAAATGAAATTTAAGGACCACTTTCAACAAAATTCACATAATATAAGGACCAAATGTATAATTTACTCTTTTAAATAATGAAGAGAATGAGTATTGACGTGTCAAACTCTTGTACTTGCATTTTCATTACGAGTAGAGAGTGAAAAAAAGGCATTATACTTTGTGAACATTTTATTTTTCATATTTATATATTCACAATGCGTGCATAAGTTTTTATTTTTAAAAGCATAATGTTATAGAAGTACGTATAATATTTATATTTGGTAAAACTCAGAAACAAATCAAAGCGTCATTGATCCAGTAGTGCTCGAGGTTATAGGTTGAGCTGAGTCTTTAACATGTCAAAGGTTTAAATTTCATCAAAGAGAAAGAATGCATACGACTATTTGTCGTATATGAATATTATATACTTGAAAAAACTTCACAAAAAGTACTCTTCACCTCGTGACTTAAAACCTTTGATCTCCAAGTAGGTAGGGATCAACTGGTAAGCAGGATTAGAGATGGACAAACGTAATTAGTCCTTATCGACCGATCAAGGTTAAACGAAATTAGACACCCTCTAGATTTAGATGCTGATCGAGCCGGATATGTAACAGTCAGGCCAACCAGTTATCCAAATTGGTTTTGCACCAAGCCTTGTGTAACCGGTTACAAGTACCACTTGTTAGGGCTGTACAAAAAACCTTCAACCCACCAAACTCAAAACCATCAATTAATAAGGTTGAAATTGGATTAGGCTAAGTCAAGTCAAGTCAACCTAACCAACCAACCGATGGCTAATATACATTTTTGTTAAATTGTTATTTATAATTACCTAATCTAAGACTCGTTATCGTTTTTGGTCATTTTTGGAGCACCAATTGTCATCCCCATTTACATGTTGCTATATTTTTAAATTTATTAGCATTAAAATAATTGGATTAAGTTATGAATACAAATATATAAAACTAAACGATATATATAAATAGTTGGTAAGCATACAAAATACTTTTTGCAAGCATAATTAGTTCATTTGTTGTATCTACTTGTGTATCAAAAAACTTAAAAAGGGCTTTCTATCTATATATTAAGCCATTATCAAACTAAGTAGCTACTACTGTAAAATATGGCGTTTTCATGACAGCAAGGTGCTCCCGCAGCACAATGTCAATGGGCGCACCGATAGTCTTATTGGTGTTCTTGTTACATATATATGATTAAATCGAAAGATTGACAATACTCCCGAGTCACTAAAAATCGAAGACACGCCCTTATTTACAAAAATAATGGCAACCCACAAACCCAACTCATAGGTTGAGTTGAAATTTTTCCAAAGAGTCATAATTGGGTTCGGTTGGGTTGTCTAAATGTTTCAAACCGCCTAACTCAACCTATATATGCCCCTACCGGTTGTGTAACCATTTATACAAAACAAGGAGGGCATCCTGCTGAGCAAAATCTGCTGCAATTTCGTGAGAACATATTGTGTAACTGTTTATGAGAACGGTTGTGTAACCGATTGAGGTAACCAAACGTTTTTTCAAGTATGACATACTTTTTAATAAAT